TCCTCTGGAGATATTCCAGCCCCGCCTGGACAAGGTCCTGTGCAGCCTGCTCTGGGTGACCCTGCTTCAGCAGGGGGGTTGGGCTGGGTGACCCACAGAGGTCCCTTCCAACCCCTACGATTCTGTGATTCTGTGAACCTGAGATTTCCTGTTACTAAATGCTCCCATGGTAATGGAGGAAGACTGTCGCCCTTCCTCTCTCCGTCGGAGCCCTGCCCAGCAAACCCCCGCGATACGAGGGTGGGGACAAGTCCCGCTGCCGTTCTGAGAGCGCCGTGTTTCCTTCAGACCCTCTTGTCTGTGTGTGATGTCGTTGCAGGGCAGTGTGCGTCCCGGCTTGCGTGCAGCCGCAGGCTCCTGCGCTTCCGCCAGCCCGGCGCAGGGGCGGCTCGGAGAGCGGGGACGGCTCGCTCTTCGGGGAAGACTCCTTGCTCAGAGGGCATCCACTGGGCAGAGCGCTCAACTGGGCACTGCAAAGCCCCATGCTGCCTGCTGTGCTTCAGCTGGAAGCCAGAACAGGGTGCTGTTGACTTTTAGAGGGGCTGCCTCAACCGACTCTGGCTTGAAACATCAATATTTGTCCTTTAAGAAAAGGAAAAAACATTAATATGCTTGGAGGGATTGTTTTACAGCCTGTGACTTCATCGTTTATGTAAACGAAGATGGGGTGAGTCTCACTGCTGCCAAATTAGGACAGAGATTTGTAGAAATTTGCAGTCCAGGGAGACAGCGTGACCTCTCTGCAGGCCAGAAGAAAGCAGTTCCTTTCAGACCGAAACGTACAGTATTTGAACAACTGGATTGGCCTGGGACTTTGTCTTTTGTTATCTTCTCCAGCAAGAAATGCCCGTGGCGGGCTGAGGCAGGGGTGCTGTGCTAGGTGATAAATCTGCACAGCAGAGTTGATGTGACATGAACGTCTTTTGTGGGTCAAGTGTGAGAATTTATTGGATGCATTTTGTGCTTTTTCTTTACACGCAGATGCACCCACCTCTGAGAGCGTGGCTGGAGCCTCCTCCACTCCAGACACCGCGCTCTTTGTCTTTTCACTGGCCTTTCCCCTCTCTGTTGTAGTCTTCGCAGAGCTGCAGCTCCGGCCGGCAGAATCACGCCCGGCTGCAGAGCGACTCCAGCTCCAGCACGCAGGTGAGTGGCAGCGCCTTGTCCCCTCTTGCTCCTCCAGCCACCGGCCACCCCACGGCGTGCGGCTCTGCCCAGCGTGGGCTGGTCGCTGCCCGATGACCAGAGTGATTTCTGGCAAACCAAAGCAGTAGTTGGAGGTAAATGACTCGCAGACCTCCCTCTGGGGCCAGTAAGGTCAGAACTGCGCGCTGCTTGGCCACGTTTAATATTCACCAGCTCAAAGGACCAACCCCTGTGTGGCCCTGAGGGCCCTTGGCTGCTCCGTGTGTTAGCAACCAGGTGCTTACCCAACCCGCCTGAAGGACGTTCTGCCCAGTATGCTACGCTGAGTAAAGCGCAGTCCTTTGGAGCAGGGACTGTGGGCTCCGAGTGGTGCAGGTGACCAAGCACTGACCTGCCAAATCCAGGCAGGGGAACCTAAAGGCCGAGGACATCTTCTGAGTTGGCCCTTCACTTCTGCACCCAGAAATTCCTCCCAGAGTCTGGTTAAAACGAGACAGAGCGCTAGATGCCCAGGCTGAAGCTGTCTCTCACTGTAGCGAAGGTGTGGAGCCACAGCCGGGCACAGCACCAAGTTAAAATGCCCTCGGGTCCTCTGAATGCGGCTCTTGGGGACACCACGCCCGTGTTCCCAACGGTTTGCTGAAGGCAGGGGGTTTGCTCGCTCTCACACAGCGCTCTGCTCGTGCTCTGCAGGTGTTTGAGTCTGTTGATGACGTGGAACAGACTGAAGCGGATGCGCAGCTGGAAGATGGCAAACAAAGCAAGATCCCCAACGGGACGGTTCCCAACGGCACGTGTTCCCCTGATTCTGGGCACCCCTCTTCCCAGAACTTCTCCATCGCGTCGGGATTCTCGGAGCGCAGCTTCAGCAACGAGGACAGTGCCCTGGAAACCAACAAATCCTCGGTGAGCTCTCAGGGAAAGGCTGGTGGGTCCGATGGGCCAGCACCACGGGACCCAGATGGTGCCCGGTGCGAGGAGAAGCTGCAGGGCCAAGACAGCCTAGAAGGTGAATTTCCCACCGGTGGAAGCATGGACTTTGTTCCTGTGGGTGAGAGCTCGGCAAGGGTCCTGCATGATCGTGACACCGTGGCCCTGACTGTGGTGGAGAGCTGGGCAGACAGCGAAGCCGAGAAGCAAAGCTTGGTGGAGAGTGAAGATAACCTCTCCGAGGAGCCGGAGATGGAGAGTTTGTACCCGCAGCTGGATTCTCTGCCTGTGGCTGATCTGGCCAGCAGCGAAACCTCTGCTGTCTCCTCGACGGGTGTCACCTACTCGGTAAATATGGACACGTTCACTGAGTGGGTTTCTTCCTGGGTATCTCACAATGTTCCTGCATTTGCCCTGTGCTGCTCCTACAGCTGGGTGTACAGGGACTCTCCGCCTTCCCCCAAGCTCTGCCCCGTCGCTGCATTGCCCCTGCATCTTTCTTTTTGGTTTTTATTTGCAAACAAATCAACTTTGCTTTTGTTTCGGGCAGCCAGAGCTACTGGACATGTACACAGTGAACCTGCACCGCATCGAGAAGGACGTGCAGCGGTGTGACCGCAACTACTGGTACTTCACCCCTGCCAACCTGGAGAAGCTCCGCAACATCATGTGCAGGTGGGAGCTGCGGGGTCTGGGTGGGGGCCTGCCAGCCCTCCCTGCGATGGGAGCACTGGTGGTCGGTTTCCCTGGGTTCACCTCGGGGCTGGAGCCTCAGACTTTGTTGCCGACTTTCGCCTCCTTGACTTCCTCCCCCAAATCCCCTCATCATCCCAGAACTGGGGCCACGGCTCCACAGACCTCGTGGTTGCCAGACCGAGGAGCCCAGGCATCCTGCCGTGGGCTGCTCTGCCCCGGGGCTGCCCAGGCGTGCTGCTGCGTGGTCTGAACCCAGCGCAGCCCACCTGCTCTCTGGAATGTGTCCGGAAAATGTTTTAATGAGGCTCAGCCCGCAGGGCCGTAGTGCTAATGAGGAAGCTCCTGAAGCGACCGCGTGGTTTGTGCCTGCCCAGGGACCCAGGAGATGACAATACCTGGGTGCGCTTGCGATTCTCTTTGCTCAGTCCCTGTGACTAAGAGGTTGCTGTATGACATTCACCAACTCAAACCAGCTCCAGCTCAGCAGCTGCGGCCGCTTCAGGGGCAGCGAAGGCTGAAATATTATTACTCATCTTGGAAATATGAGGAGAAGCTGCTGTTTCGTTAGGGCTGTCGCTTTATCTGACAGCCAGAGTTGGAGATCTCTGCTGAGATGAGATTTAAAATACAGCAGATTTTGGAAAACTAGCGGGCAGGATGGAAGAGATTGTTCCCTTGTGCCAGCCCTGGATCCGAGTCCTTTCCGAACGCGTTTTGACTTGCTACCAAATATGGGAAGATATCTCTGCAGGGCTGGTTGCTTCCTGGGCCGCTGGGTCCAGGGAGAAGCAGGCGATACGGTGCAGAGAGAGCCGAGAGGATGAAGCGAGGGGGAAGGGAGGGAGGGAGAGATGAATTAACAAACACTGTCGGGCTCTGCGCTTCCGCCAGCCGCCTCGCATCGCTGTGCTTTTTGACTTCACTTTTCCCCGCGCTCAGTTCAATGCCAGAATAAACAGGTCTGATGTGCCCTGCCAGCTGCCGTGGCTTGGTGGCAGCATGTAGGACACGCTAGCGTCCCAGGAATGGAGGCAGGGGACAGGCAAGCGAGGTGGGTGGTGGTGGCACTCGTGCGTGGCACGGGAAGGGCTCACCAGCCACTTTTGGTGCTCTCTCACACAGCTACATCTGGCAGCACATCGAGGTCGGCTACGTGCAGGGGATGTGTGACCTGCTGGCCCCTCTCCTGGTCATCCTGGATGACGGTGAGTGGGTGGCTCTGCTCTGCTGTCCCCAGATCTTCGTGGGGGGATCTGCTGGGCTGGTGGTGGCCCTTTGCAGGGTCCTGTGCTGTGGAGCAGCGGGTGGCAGGATCCCGTTTGTCCTCCATGCTGTCTGACTCCCAGGAGCCCAGCCTGGGGACAGCGTGTACCTTGTGCAGCGTGAGCTGTCTTTCCACGGCCAGTCCACGCTGCGTGCCCCTGACCACCTGTGGGGCAGGGAGGGATGGTCCTGCTGCCGGAGTGGCAGTGTCCCTGCAGCCGAGCAGTGACTGTCTCTTCCCTGCGCAGAGGCTCTGGCTTTCAGCTGTTTCACTGAGCTTATGAAGAGGATGAATCAGAACTTCCCCCACGGAGGAGCCATGGACACCCACTTTGCCAACATGAGATCTCTGATCCAGGTGGGGGGTCCCTGGCACAGGGACGGCAGGCTCTCAAACCAGAGGGGGAAAGCTGTTCTCGGGACGGGGTCTCAGAGGGGCTGAGGGGAGCTTTCAGTGGTGGGAAGCAGGAGGGAGAGCAGGGGGCCGTAAAGAGAGCCTGGGAGTGCCAGGATTGCAAAGGGAGGGAGAACCTGGGTGGGAGACGGTGTGGTAGGAGAGCAGTGGGAGTGGAGGAAGGCAGGCAGAGGAATGGCTCATGCTTCTGGTGTGCACTGAGGAGTTTTCTTTTGCTCTTCTTGGCAGATTCTGGACTCTGAGCTCTTCGAGCTGATGCACCAGAATGGTGATTACACTCATTTCTACTTCTGCTACCGATGGTTTCTCCTGGACTTCAAGAGAGGTGTGTGCTGGGAGGGAGGCAGCTGAGGCCAGCAAACGGGGAGGGAAGGCAAGGTCTGCCATGCTTCCACGCTGCTCAGTGCACTCTGCACCTTCAGTTGTCTGAACCTAACCTTTTTCCATGGGTTCCTGTTTTGCGTTTCCCTGGTAGACTTGCGGCTGACTTTTCTGACTAGACACAGAACCTGCTGTTCCAGAGCTGCTGGTGAGCCTCCACGGGCTTTGTGTCCTGAAGCCTGTGCCACCCGCTGCAGGCCAGAATATTTGTCCCTAAAGATGACTGACTTATTGCTTCCAACTGGAACAGGTTCTTGTGGGAAGAAGCCACCCAGCGTGTCTTCCCAGTGCTGCCATGAACTCCGTGAGTCAGGGTGATTGTAAGCCCGTGGCTGGCACAGTAACTGCTGGGCTCTTCCCTCTGTTAACAGAGCTGGTGTACGACGACGTGTTCGCCGTCTGGGAGACCATCTGGGCAGCTGCACACGTTTCCTCTGCACACTACGTGCTCTTCATAGCCCTGGCCTTGGTGGAAATGTACCGGGACATCATCTTGGAGAACAACATGGATTTTACAGACATCATCAAGTTTTTCAACGGTACAGCTTCTGTTCTGTGGGGCTGAATTTGCGGCAGCTGCTGAGATGTAGGCAGCACATGTCTGACTATAGACAGCCACGTCTGGGCTATACTGGCAAATGTTTAAAACAAACAGAGCAGTGGATGGTAGTGCGATGCTGATCCTTGCAACATGGTGGTAGGGACCTCTTGCCCCTGAACAGTCAGGCTCTGAGGGGTCTGGTGGTGCCTGGGGGAAGCCAGCCCTGCCATCCGTGGCAACAGCCCACCTCGCCGTGCTTGAAGGGAGCTGTGAGCGTAGGCTGTGCTTCTTGCTGGCTCCCGAGAGGAGCTGGTTGTGATGGCTCTTCTCTTCAGAGCCAGGTGTCTGCGAGCGATGGTGCCTGCGGACTTGAACAGGAATTTTCAGCTTCAGCTCCTGCCCGGAGCTCGGCTGAGAAGCAGAGGGCTGTGAGGCTGGGGGGACCCTCGAGACGCCGGGCTGCTCGGGTCTAGCGTCTTTGTGGGTTCCTTCTGTCTGTGTTCCAGAGATGGCTGAGCGGCACAACACCAAGCAGATCCTGAAGCTGGCTCGGGACCTTGTCTATAAAGTCCAGACTCTGATCGAGAACAAATGAAGGACGTGGGGAAGATGAGGCATCCAGACAAAGAGCCGGGACTCCCTGCAATGCTTCCTGCCCTTCTCCTTTTTCTCGAAGTGCCACGCCTGCGGAAATAAGGTAGCTGGACACGTGCTGCTGTCTAAACTGGAAGTACCCTTAGCTCTCCAAGTGCTGTGTTCAGTGTTAGGTCCAGGGGCCCGGCTCAGATCTTCGCAGCCTTCTTCAGTGACTTAACCAAAGATCTGTACAATCGCATTTTATTGCTAAGGACTTGCTCTGGAAGCAGGATCCAGCAGTCGCTTCCTTGTCTTGCTGCAGCAGAAGGGCAGCAAGCGTGGTTACCACCACAACTGCCGAGGCAGTTGCCAGCATCCCAGGTCAGAGCCCCGGGGTCTGGGGGAGCAGAGCTGCCAGCCCTCCTCGGGGCTGGCTGGGGCTCGACAGCCTTTGTGGCGGGGGAAAAACTCCTTGGACGGCCGTTACCCTGCGGCACGGGGAAGCCAGCCAGCCCTGCAAGCCTGGGCAGGACAGGGATGCTGCCGGTACTCAGCTCCTTACTAACAGTGTGAGGTTCTGCCAGTAACAGAGAGGGACTTTGATCACAGAAATTCCCCTTCTTTTGATCTTGTCCCTCGATGCATAGCATCCCCTTTGGTATTTTTTCAGGGCTCTGTTCTCTCCCTGGGATTTTTATGTTGTTTGTTACTACAATGTCTGAGCACACAAGAGTTTCAGCTCTGGATGGATTTTCAGAAGTGCTCCAAATTCAGCATTGGGGTTTTTCTTTCAAAATCCAGCCTATGTAACGCTCTCTGAACACTGGAAAATCTGGTCCTAACTTCCTCTGGGAACTCTAGACTTGAGGTTTTTGTACCTGCCTTACTCTGGCTGCGTGTGCTAGGAGTCTGGTCTCCCTGTCGTTCCTCTGCAACCCCTGTTAGGGGAGGGCTCCTCGGAAGGCGAGTCAGCGCTCCTGAATTTGATGACTGTCCTGACTTTCCCTCTGAAGGTGCCTGTCTCGTCCTCTGTTAATTAAAAGACCAGCTGCTCAAAGCTAGGCAGTGCAAACAATCCCCTCGGTGCCTGCAGGTTTTCTGTGTGCTTCTGGGGCTGGCTGGAGACCCCCCCCAAGTCCCCTGAAAATCTTCAGTGAGGTTTTGGTGGGCTTCTTTCACATGCCTGCAAAGAGGAAGACAGCCCAAGGTCCCCGAGTGGTCTTTGCTTTATTTTCAACGCAGGTAAAAACAATAAAGGAGAAGGAGAGGTGTAGGTTCTTGGTAGGTCTAGTTCAGCCCGGGAGGGCCTTGTTGTGGCCGCAGAAGGCTGCCGTGAACGTGTGCTTGCAGCAGCAGGGAAGGCGCTGGGTTGTAGCTCTCTGTCATGGTACTTTCTCTCGAGTTTTGCTGCAAAAATGTGTGTTCCCCCTCCATGCGATGTGTGATGTGTGCGTGCTCTCCTCCTCCCCTCTGCAAGATAAGGCCCTGCTCATCTCTTGCTGTTGGAGTGCTGCTCACCAGAAGGGAAAAGAGGCCCTTCCCTTCTTCTGTGGAACGTCTGCCTGTGCTGACTGTGCTGTGTGTTTACTTGTGGCATGTGTCAGATGTCGCTTGCAGGAAAAAAAGACAGATGTAAATCTGCAGAAGAGAAAACTGCCGCTTCAGAAAAGTTCTGCAGAGCGTGGTGAAGCGATTTGTGGTTTCTGAGCACACCAGCTGGTCTTTCTGCAGTGCTGGGACCCAGAGGCGGCAGCTATCAAAACCAGGGAGCAGTAGGACACGCTGAACCCTTTGGGGAGGAGGGCCGCAGCGAGGGATGAGAGCAACGGGGAGCCTCTCATTTCTCATGATCCCAACAAGCAAGTGTGTGCCAACAGTCTAGGAAATTCTTTGAAGCAATTTTCTGCATTAAATCTCCAAAGAGTGCTTGCTCTGTGCTAGCACGGGAATCAAAGGCGTTTGAGCTTCACATCTGCCAGTTCACGTGTGAATCTTTCATCTCTCCACGAAGCAGAGCGGGAAGCTGGTGCCCTCCCTGCCAGGCTGTTCCTCTTCCCACTGCGTCCTAGGACAGGTAGTGGTCTGCCTGCATCGCCTTCTCCGAAGGCGGAGGGGAGGGGAAGTGCTCTGCCCTCCCCTTGCTGCGGGACAAGAACCAATAGGTCAACTTTAAACACAGTCTTATCAAGCAGCATCACTGACACTTTATCTTTCAAGCTTCTGTTTTTCTTTTCTTGGTTTTTTAAGCAAAAACAGCCAAGAAATTCTGCACAATATTTGCTGTCTGTATTAACTGAGAGTGTCTTTGGGCCGCTCAATAGCAGTGTTTTTTGAATAACTTCTAAGGGAAAATAGTATTTATTTATTGATTGTACATTACTGTGTGTCCTTGTATACTGAAGTATGTGAGTGTGCGTCGTTACGCAAGTGGAGATATATCTTTTCAATGTTCTTTACAATATCTTGTAAATGTTTACCAGAAAAACGTGTCTATATATAATATATATATATACAGTATAGAGAGAAAATATGTGAATGAAGTAGGTTATTTTTTGAGGGGGGAAGAAGATATCTTTTGCTGCTAAGACCTGTATGGTTTCTATAGCACCTATTCCATGATGTGCCAATCTGTCACTGTCCCTGTACTGAGAGAGTTGTTCTGGTATGGCAACGGGAAGCTCGGAGCATAACCACCGTCAAGTCTGCAGGAGCAGCTGGGCAGGGTTTCGTGCCTGCCCTGGGATCAGCTTGGGGAAGAACAGTTGCAGAGCTGAGGCTTGGTGTGGCTTGAAAAGAAACTGGATGGTCCAAAGAAAGTGGTATGTCAGGCTGCATTTAAACTGGGACCAAAGTCATTCTCCTTTGCAGCAGATGGTATCGTTTGGTTAGGAAGGCAGCATTCCGTGACCTGTACAGCGTACCCGGGGAGCTGCTCCGCTCTCCTGACCAGCGCCCGTCCCCCTGGCTCTGCTGAAGGCGGTGCCCCCCACCCTCTGCTTTACTCCCATTCGTACAGAAGTCAGCGAAAACCATCCATTCCCATGAGAACTCAAGTCTGAGCTTGGAGGTCTGGCTTTGGGATCCCATGCAGGTGTGAGACAGAAGATAAGAACTGTCTCCAGGCTCTGCACAAACAGGCTGTGATGGTGCCTGTGCTCTGCCCTTCTACAGCCCCTGTCCACGCGTGGTCCCAGCGGGGCTTCCAGCATCGTGTTGGAAGCCGCAGTGGGTAGAGCCACGCTCCTTGCTGACCCCTCCGGGGCAGGACCGGCAGGTTCCTGTGCTTGTAGACCCTTAGTGAAGCAACACCGGGAGCCTGGGGCTGAAGATCTACTCGATGGTTAAAAGCTACTAAAATTTAAGGACAGATTTTTATTGTTGAGCTGTTCATAGGCCTTCTCCTGCCTCAGCCTCTCCTGCCTGGCTCTGCCCCTCTGCTAGGTTGTCCTGAGGTAAAAGCATTCCTCTGGGTTTCCGACAGCGTGAATCCCCGTGGCCCTGCGAGGCGGCACCGCTCTCTCCTGGCTGTGCAGCTGGAGATCGCCTGTTTCCCGCGGAGGGAGAAGCCCGTCGCAGGGGAATGCTTGCCCATATACAGTAATCTTGTCTGGCTCCTTGGGGGAAAGGAATGTCGCATCCCGGCAGCTCCGTGCAGCTGAAATCCGCCCTGTGCAGTGGCACTACAAGCCAGGGACTATCTTTAGCCTGCTGTGGTTCGCTCTGGGGGACAGGGGCTGGAGCTGCTCTGCCTTCTGACTCGAGACTGCTGCGTCCTTCCCCTGGGAGCAGCAGGGTTTGCATCCCGCCTGCCCCCGGCCGGCATTTCCCACTCTGGGTCACTCCGGAGCTGTGCCCGAGGGACGGACGGACGGACTCCGCGGGCTGAGCTGCTCAACTCGCGCTGCACCCGCAGCTGCAGAGGTGGTGGGGTTTTCACTTCATCTTTGCTTAGAGCTGCTCAGCTCGCAGATAACCCTGGTGTGGTTAAATGCAGTGAACGTTTGTGTCCTCACCTCGTGTTCCCCTGCAGAAGTTCCTAATGGATTCTTGTTCTGTATTTGAGCTTTCTGCTGATGCAGCCTACCAGATAACTCGTGGTACCCATCTCTTTTAGTGTTACTCATGTAAACTCTTTAGAAGTTGTCTTTGGTCCTGAATAGGTGAGTTTTATGGTTTTACTGTGTTGAGTCTCTGAATTGCTTTGCTATTAACATTTTTCATGAAGATTGCGAGGGTTTTTTGCATGGGAACTTCTTGCTGCCACCCTGTTCTGCTCTCATCCAACCTCTTATGTCTTGAACATCCCTTAACATACCCAGATACACCTTTTATTGTAACCAGAGCCAGCAGCAGAAATGCAGGTATCAACCATCGTCGCTGATAAGTAAAACCAGATGAAGAGAAGTGACTGTTCTTGATGTGGTGGCTTGAAATTGCAGTTCTGCTGGGAACCCATCCATGGGCAAGCTGAGCCCATCCCAGAATCCCACCTTGGAGACACAAGCCTGGTGGCCAAGAGCACTGTATGGGATGAGATTCTTCTTGTTCTTTCTTCTTTATTTCTTTGTTTATTTATTTTAATCTGGCTGGCTAATTTTCCTTTTGTTCCCCATTTACTTCAAGAAGCCAGCTAATTCTCCGCACTGGGAGCCACTGTGGCAAACAGTCCTCAAAATAGGTACGGGACCACCAGATTCAGGATTCTCATCAGTTTGCTTTTAAAAATATCTTACAATATCTTAAATTGCTGCTCTCTCCTGTGGCATTGCTGTTCAGCTAGTGGTAGCCTCTGAGCCCGTTTATCAGTGGGCTAAAATGGTTGTCGTTCGTCAAAACATCTCTCAAACACTTTTCACCCCATCTGGGACTTTTCACAAGCACCAAGCAGTTCTGGGCAGGTTTTCTGCATTTTACTGCCACGTGAGCACAAATTGATAGTGAAAGAGCACAACTTACAGATCAAGTGACAATTTTCTAGCAGCGTGGAAGGGTTGTAACTGTCACCAGAACCAGTTTCCA